TACATCTACACGCATAAACACACACCTTCTATAGGCTGAAACTAACTGCTCAGTTTAAGTATATTATAAACTTCTAAATGAGGATCTAAAATGGAAACGATGACAAGCCATTAAGTATTGCAGCCATGGCGAAAACTGCCCAGATACCTGCCATTAATTTTATTTTCACCTCAGGAAATCTAAATAAAATATTTTGCTTAAAATCTGGTCAAGATGAGTTGAAGCATTTTGTTGGTAAGCCAAAAGCAGAATGTTTCTATTTTGGTCAGCTGCACTTTCATGGCTCTTCATCTCGTCTCCTGAAGGGCTTCTGGGGAACTATAATTTAAGTGCCTCAGGTCTTCATCGACTCTAGGGTCAGCTGGACTTCATCTTCAATGTCATGACACTGCCCACTGCAGCTAGAGATTTCTGTTTGGCCTGAGTTTTAGAAACATGAGGACACAACGAGTTGCATTTTGGATGGCATGTGCAGTAGATATCACCATGATATATACTACATATACTATACATAGCCATGGATTATTACAGTATTTCCTATCACAGTGGAATTCACAAGCTTGGACTGGCAAGACAGAGCAAATCTAATGACCTGTATTACAAACAAGGAAGGATATATTATCCTCAATGAGAAGTATCTGACAAGCATCTCCTTCAGAAACAATAATGCCACACTGAGGGATTGATGGACTTTGGCACATTCTGTGTACCGATCTATATGGCTATACTCTGTTCCTTCACATCCTTCCTTCAGGCTCACTTTGCCCTGATTCTTACCAGTCATCTTTATGATTAAGCTAAACAACTTAGGGGCAGACAGGTAAAACCCGGTTGGACAGAGTCAGTATTTAACAACAAAGCTAAACCAATTCAAGTAGTGAATTAATAACAAGCGTTAGGGGCTGCTGTCACTCCCACTAGTGTATATTCAGTGTGTATTTTCATTGCCGTCTCCTCCACCCTTTGTCCATGGTTTGTCTCCTTCACTTGTAAATGCACCATAAGAGTCTAGCTTTTGTTCTGATTTTACATTTGGCATTTAGCAAAATAGGGTCCCAATTCTGAATGAATCCCTGGGGAGCTACTGAAATACAGATATTTAACAATCTTTTAATATTGATTACAAAAATCATGTGCTAACATGATGACAACAACTCTAGAGGCAACTGGTGTTTTGACTTCTGCTCTTAAGACTTGTGCATGGCTTAGTGCACAGTCAGGGATTATTATCAACTGGGGCCCTCATATGGCAGGATATATGGCAGGTGTGGCAATAGCAAGCAATGACTTGTGCAGTAGCCAGTCACTGAGAGACAAACTACAAATGGTTGGGTCCAAAAACTAGGAAAGGAAATAGAAATCCTTCCTATGACAGGAAGGGAGTCAGAAGCAGTTAGTGTCTAGAATATATTGTAAAGGAATTAAAAATGCAAGATATTTATTCATTATCTTGTACTGGCTCTTTGGAGTGTTTACAAGTACCTGAGGCAGGGACCACATTTTCCTGTGTGCTTAATAGGAACGAGGCATCAGTCCTGATGGAATCAACTGAGTTCTTTGCAACAGGAATAAATGATCATTGGAAACTATGTTCTATTCTTGGATGTAAGATTTGCCTTCAGACACAGGAACAACTCTTCATGAGCCAGTATAAGGGCCGTGCGTGACTCTTAGAAGTTAAACTGTTGACACAATGGATGTGACCCTAGATAGGAACACATCAGGAAAGGAACATATTTGTTTGGCTTCATTGTACAAGCACAAAGTCTGTGTGCTATAAAAAGACGGAGATACTTTTGTTGAAAAATGCTAGGCATCTCCAGTAGCTATGGGTCTCGGGAAGATAACTGTCTAGTTTCCCATATTTTCCAAAGATTAGTGATGTACTGCCAATATTTTAACAAGGAGTGCCCACAAAATTCCACCCTCGCCCAAGTCTGTGATAAACCCTCTGGGATCTGGGTGGGGCCAGGGGGTAAGTTGCTGCAGAAAGAGGTGAGGAACTAGGGAATCTAGTCATTTGTTTTTCCAGTTGAAAGAAAACACTTCCCGTAACTGCAACCAAGGGGGGAAGCAACCAACCTCCCTTTTTTGTTTGGCAAATAAATCTAGCTTAAATGCACTTTGCTGGAAATGTTTATACTGCGTTTCTGAAAAATATACTGAGTGTGTCAATAGGGTAGCACAGCATTCCAGCATGTTTTATCTGAAATGGGAAAGGACGGAAGCAAAACACACGTGTGAATGCATTTGTGAAAAGAACCCGTGACAGAGCCAGGGAGGAGCCTCCCTGGGAACATTTGTGGCAATAGCAAACACTTCTACAGGGAAAGGCTTTCTCTTACAATCCTGTGAGAATCCAGAACGTAGCAACAGATGATGATGAACCTGGAGGTAAATGACCTCAGAGGTTCTTTTAGTTCAGTTTCTGGCCTGATTAAATTCTAGAGGTATCGAAGACAGCAAAGTTGCCATCCTCTGGCTAAGTAATATATGGTAATCAGCATAGTCCGTCTGTCCACCCATCTTCCTTTTCTTACTTTCTTCATTTTTTAAACTTTATCCCATGTTTCTTCATCAAAGGTAACAGGGAAATATTCCAGATTTGACAGAAATATACGGATTCTGAACAGCTCAGCTAGTGACTGGCAGCCAGTGACTTTGTAAATGGGACCCCAAATTCACAAAGGGGTTGCGTATGCTTAGTTTCCTCTGCATTGCCCTTGCAGTACAACCAACTTCAAATTCAACATTTATTCCCTTAAAAATGATCAGAAAGACTTCACACTCAAATGTTATGACTAGTTAACTTCTTCCGGTGACATTCAAATCCCTGCCTAAGAATGGTCTGTCGTACTATTATTATTTTTTGGACAAAGAACGAATTAAACTCCACAATGGAATCAAGGGAAAAAAGACATAACAAGGCTGGAATTAACTTATTCATATTGGTTTCCAGGACAGGAAGACACATTTTACTCTGCTTGTGCCCTTCATCCTTTCATCCCATTAAACAGCTGCATGGTGGTTGCACAGAGCTCCCAGCATAGCACCACATTGATCTATGTGGAAGGATGACTTGCTCTGGTCTGGGACAGTGGACTTTGGCTCTGGAGCCCCTCCCCACTCTGATGCTCATAATCAAGGCCAGATCCAGAGAGGGTGGCACGGCTGCACCCTCCCTCGTCCCCTTTCAGAATGGACCACACCTCGGGAACTAACTTCTGAGAGCTGTGCTGTAAGTTACAGCTTCTGCTATTGCCTCAGCCATATATTTACATCTCACCTATATTCTCATTTACCTTTAAATACCAGCTAAGAAAGGGGGAATGCGTCCATTTTCACTTAACAGCTAGAACAGGGGTCAGCAAGGTTTTTTGGCTGGAGTGCCAAAAACACCCCAACCTTGACCCATGCCTTGTCTTGGTATGGCAGGGGCAGGTGGAGAGGGAGCTGCAAGGAGCCCAATCCTCATTGCTGGCAGTGGGTGCACGTGTGCCTCTGGGTGGACGGCTGGAGAGGGGCCAGGGCTGTGCTTTCCCAGCTCCTTTCCCACCATTCACCCTGAGGCATACATGCAGCTGCTGCCATGGAGCTGGTGCCGGGGCTCCAGACCCTACTGCAGTTGTTTGCAGCCTCCTGGCTGTCTGCCACAGCTTGACTGGGTTTTGGGCAGCTGCTGCCAGCCATGGAGCCTGGGCTGTTCGCAGGAGGGCTTGCAGCCTTCCTGCTACCTGCTGCAAGCAGCCTGGGCTCCACGGCCAGCCGCAGCTGCCCAGAACCTGAGCCGGCTGCAGCACGCCAAGCAAAATGGCCTCATGCCATGCTCTGGTATACATGCCAGGGGTTGCCAACCCCTTCCTAGAAGCATTTGCAGGTTCATCAAATCTATGTAGACCTTTTTATGTTGTAATAGGACACCAAGTGAATCCTCTGAGGGTGAAATACATCTGTCTTCAAGGCAAAAAGTACTACCTTAAAGTTTGTGTCTGAGAGAGTTAAAGCTGCTATAGATGAGATTCAGGAAGTTATTTGAGTCAACTGGATAAAAGCCCATGGCAGCTGGGCATGGTGAAGTGACACACAGTCTGCAGGCGCAAGACAGAATGCTGTTTTTCGCTGTGCTGTATCACCGGCCACTGGTCCAAGAAAAAGTCCAAGAAAAAGTATTAGCTCCAGCTTCACAATGAGTTGTTTACTGGCCTCAGCCATGAGAGCAGCCAAAAAACAGCTGAAAAGGAGAACAAATAGGATGAAAGGAGAGCATGCTAGCAAACTGAGGATCCCAACCTAAGGGAGCTGGGGAAGGCTGGAAAAAAGAAAAAAAAAGACTGACCTCTCCCTGCCATAAGCAAGCAAAGCTGAATAATTTTGGCTACCAACATTGCTTTCCTGCAGGCAGAAGACACCCAGGCCTTTCTTAACTGAAAGGCTAGTGCTGAAGGTAAGAGGAAGAAATAAAACTTCTAGTTAGTGGCAAAGTTTGGAAACTGATTTACTAAAAGCAGTCAGATTTAGCAGACTGGGCTTTACAGACAAGAGAAATGCTACTTCTCTGGCAGATAGCATGAATCCCAAATAAGTATAAAACCTGTATTATGAAGGGTTTCAGAGGCAATTTCATCCTTTCAAAGCTAATTTCATGAGAGCAAATGTCTAAAGCACTGTAGGATCCTTCTAGGGGCCAACTGCCTGGGTGGGATAAAGTTAGACAGGCAAGACATTCTTCATCAGGTCACTGATTAAAACATAAGGTGTTTTAACTCACATTTATCTGATCCTTTGCAAATAAAATAAAAGATGAGCAGTCAGTTTAGGAGGATGTTCTATATTCTCTCTAGGAAGAATAATTTTGCAGCTGTTGTGTGCTTTTTTGATGCCTCGCTGCTCTCTAAAGCTCTCATCATCACCTGTCTCTTTTTCTTTTCTTTCTCTCTCCTTTTCTTTGTTTTAATTGGGGAAAAATAATTGTTATGGTGAAAGAAAATCTGAGCATTTAGGCACAGGCTTCCTCCTGCCCATTAGAATTCCCAGACTAAAGGAACACTCTGCTACAGCACTCTCACAGGGGCTGTGTCTGCCAACTAATTGCTCAGGAAATAAGCTGTATCCATTGTCAAGCTGTACTTAAAGCTGCCAATTCTTAACTGTGAAAGCTGCTTTTCCTGGGCTGTTAAAGGAAAAGTATAACCAGCCTATAAGGATTGGTGACTAAGGGGGCGATGAAGAGAGGGACTGGGCGGGATCACAGCTACTAATAATACCTCCTCACCCAATGAAAAGCATTTCCTATTGAGACCCCCAACTATTCCCCCTGCCCACAGATCCTGCACAGACATTGGGCCCATTCTTGTGTCCTGTTTCCTTAAGACATGATGGCTGCAACATTCAGCAGTTTTTTCTCTCTCCTAACAAAGGAAGAGAGATAAGTGCTGGCAGCCTCGCGTGCTGAGGATGACCGACAATCGGTAAAAGGCTAAAGCAAGCAGGTTTTTCCAGATGGGAATAAACACAACTTCAGCAGAAAAGAAATTGGAGAAATATGTGGACTGTCACAGAGAAGAATCTATGCTAAATCTGCTACTTACCTAGCTGCCTGCAGGCATGATCTCTCAGCTAAACCTGAAGCTGGTGGGTAAGTTTTTATTTTACTTATTGACTGAATGACTGCATACAACTCTTGAGATTTAAATGTTACTTCTGAATATATTAATGTTCTCTAAAACCCGCTGGATCAGCCAGATCCTTGATAAAAGTCTCTTGGAGTCAGTAATATTATTTCTCCAGGAATTAATCTAACCCATTAGGTGTGAATTGTGGAAGATTTCAGCACTGATTTAGCAGTGCTTTTATCTGGGGGAAGGCCCAGGCACTAATATTGTGTCAATGAAAGGAAGGATAAGTTTCTCACACTGATGCAGCAAGGTCCAGTGAAAAGATGATCTCCATGTTTTTGGAATGCAATTACTTTGCAGAGCAATTTACACTAGGAATTACTGCAAGGCAAATCACTGTAATTCACACTTTATCTAACATCAATCAGAATGACAAGGACTTTTCTGTCATGGTTGTGCTTAATCGGCTTGTTTTGGATTTTCTTAATTACTCCCTTGTCTAAAATGCCTTTTACATTTCAAATTCAATGTCTTTGTGGTATTGCTTTATTTAGGTGCAACAAGACAGCTGTATGTTAAAATTATAGGCTCTCTCAGTGTGCAAAGTTAGCTCTGTGCATTGCAGAAAATCATAAAATTAAGCTGGGGCGCACATCTTGGTGGGAACATCTCCCTACAAGCCATATTTTACAACTTAAGTATAAAAAAGCTTTATCTTTCTTAAATTGCAAAGATCTTTTTTATTTAAATTACATTATACAACTGGCACTACCCTGTAGCTAAATTCTGCTTCTTTTAAAACTAATTACAAGACCCCATAAAAAGAGGGACTTGCCTATAAGTATATATTAAAACTGTTTTCAGCTATAACATGAATTAAGATGCTTTCCATTATTATTTTAACATGTAAGCTTTTGAGAGAGAAGTTGCAGACTATGGATTTTCATTGCATCTAGGAGGAAGCTTTGCTGCACAGATTCATTTCAATAATCCTGCTATGTCTTTGTGTAAGAGAAATTGTATAATTTATTAATACTCCAGTAAATTAACAGAATAGTTGGTAAAACTGAGAGGATGGGAAGTGCAAAGTTCAAAGCCTGACAAGACTAACCCTACAATATTTCTTCATCTTCCTTCTTTTAATAGTATTACGAAAGCCAAAACAAACCAAGCAGGAAGCTAACTTTACTGTTCTGGTGAGTTCAAAGCTTATTGAGTTAAAATGAAAAGTCCTAAAAAATGTGGATGGAGGAGGGAGAGCACTCAGTGTATATTTCATTTTACTCCTCAGGGACTAAAAAGGAGACTTCTCCTGGTTAAGGTTAGGTCACTTGATGAAACTGGTGTCTGCTAAATTCTGGAGGGAGAAGTTCAGCTCAGAGAGAGGCAGACAAAACAAGACCAAACCTCAATGCAATTACCTACTCACTTTCATTTCAGAACCCTCATCTTTACAAGGACATTTAAAAACAAGTGCATCATCCAACTCTCTCTCCCATCCTATCTTCTGGCAGAAGCAAATAATGTTAACAGTTACTAAGTTTTGCAGATCACAAGCAGGAAAGATGCAGCTCCAACAGTAAGAGAAGTACTTTCTTCCTTGAGGCAATTGCTTCACCATTAGAACAGAAGACTAGATGATGGAAACCCATATTCTTATTCCGCTTCACCCACTTGGGTAGTCCTTATTGTAGAATTAGCTCTGCCTCTTTTTGGGCAGTTGCCTTGAAATCTCCACACCATGCACAAAAACTTCACCTGAGTGAAGTGATTCTGTCAACTGGGAATGCAGGATAGAGCCCTTTGTAGGCTAAAATACTTGAGTGCTGATAGTCCTTCAGTGCCTTCCCACAGTCCCCCAACAGGAAGACACTGGCAAATTATTGCTTTACTGACTCGTAAAGAAATGTCCTAGCACACCAGGCAGGTGTGAACAAGGTACACCAAATGAATGAGGTACCAATGATAACACAGTAAAGTGAGCACAGCTTTGCAATGTGGCTGCTCACACCTAAAGTAGGTTAGGTTGAATGCCAATCACCTGGGCTGACTCTAGCCCTTACCCACTGTGCCTGGGACTATTCAGTTTGGGTCTTAGCCCATCTTCCCTAGAGTACATGGCAAAGATCCCAGACTTGAAGTGCCTAAGTTCTCAATTAGTTTCTTTGTTGGAAAACTGAAGAAAACCTTAATTACCAATCTGTCATCTCTTTTGAGGACAGATAGTTGGGTTGATAACTGTTTGCAAATGTCAATGTGTTGAGTGCTATAACATTGCTATGTATTTTTTTTAAATACTCAAGTCTAGGATCTCTTCAGTCAATTAACTTATGCTGTTAAATGTTTTATATACATTCTTTATGAATGTACTTGTGTACACATACTTTAGTACCTGTTATGATTTATCTGTGCTTGTTAGAGTTCAGCAAAATGTGCAACCCAGGTAGAAAAATTTCAACTCTGTTACCTATTGAATATATAGACCAGTTTAGCAGGGAATTAGACTCATCAGAGGGTGCTCACTGGTGTCCAGGGTATATGAGGAGAGTGGGGCAGGAGGGGTCTACCAGTTTGCTCCCTGATGGTTTCTATGTGTCACTGTGTAGAGGCACAAATAACATTCTGTTGAACAAGCCAGGTCTGGGGCTGAATAGGTATGAAGCCTGAAATATCCATCTGCTCCCAATGGAGCCTTTTCAGGTCAAGTGCATGTATAAACTTGTTTTGCTGCCACTGCCCATGCTGTGCCTCTTCCATAAATAAGAATATGAGTTTCGCCTTTGGGAACATAAACCCACCACTCTTCACAAAACCAGAATTCGCTTACTGGAAACGGAAGTTATTTATTCCCAAGAGCTGACAGAGGTGGTACGCAATTGCTTCAACATACACCACCTTCTGCCTTTAGTGTCAAAGATCAGACTAGTCGCATTTAACCTTTTTACCCTTAGCTAAGGGTAAGATACCATTTTACCAACCCACAGGTAACCCCAGTACAAGAGAGTTTTCTTGTCAAGAGAGTTGCCATTGTTTGGTTTCTGTACAAAATACAAAGTCTCTTTATCTTGGTAGGTTTGAGCAACTGAATTTGGACAGTGTTTGTCAGTCATCGAGACTTTATACATGTATAAAAGCTGCATAATAGCTTGCTTTCTGTGTTGTATCTTAAAGTACAAAGTTTCTTATAGATTCATAGATGTTAGGGTAAGAAGGGATCTCGGTAGGCCATTCTGTGTATTTTAATGAGTGATGTATGTCCACAGATGAAGAGTGACACCTAAAATCTTCTAGCATATTTTCAGTTTAACTTTGGAATATGTCGCTCATGTGCTTCTTGCACAGGATGCAGTTTTATGTTGGAATTAAGACTTATCCTGTTACTCAGAAACAAGTACACTTCTCAAACTATTGTGCGATTTATTTCCCCCCCCCCCAATTTTATAATGTCACTCATGTAAATATGATACCTAGAAACCTAATTATAAAATGATATTACACAGTATTTCTGGATCACTATTTTCATACTGTAAAATCATTTTTGGTTTATTCTCATATATAATAATTTTACTTTGTAAAGTTTACTGTTGGGGAAAAAAAATGTCAGAGCTGTGTGCTTGTTAATTTACATCAGTATTTTTCTCTTACGTGGGTTCATTATGTTTTGCCTAATAAATTGAGCTCTTCATGCATTAGAAACGCTGCGTAGGAATAAGGTATTTTCCCAAGAGAGAGGGTAAAGGTTATGCTATGAAAACACAAAACGTGCCTTCAGCTCAGTGAATGTCTATTTTTACAGGGGCATATACAATGTACAGGGTATTTCTAAGGCCTAGACCATGTGATTCTCTACAACTCCACAGGGGCATTGAACATATTCAACCCTCACATGGCAAATCCTCAACAAACCCTCTATTCCAGTAAATGGGGCTATGCCTTTTTATATCGACTACCAGATCTGGTCCATAGATTTTACTGTGAGCAGTGGGTACGGTACTCAACACCTTCAGGATCAAGCACTCGGAGAGAATGAAGCTATATTATATCAAATTCATGCACCAGCACAGAGAAGGTTACATATTTTCAAGGGCATGAACACTCTTGTGGCCTTAGAAGTGTGTGTGTGTGTGGGGGGGAGCCTAAAACCAGAACTAGAAAGGAAATCAAACCATAGTCCCTCATCAGAATTATACAATGGCTGAGCCTAAAATACATATTGTTGTTGTTATGATATAGGCGGGGGGAAACCTCATTGAATTATTATGTATAACAAACGTCCTTCATTCAGTATAGATGTAGAAAAGTTTAAGTTTCTCTTTCATAGTAAGATAGTCTAATCAGGGTGACAAATCCATGGTACATGGGCCATAAGTGGAACTGGCAGCCTGTGTGTGGCACACAGCCCAGAGAGCACAGGCAGCACTATGGCAAATAGGACAGGAAGCAGAAAGTAGAGCGGTAGATCAGAAAGGAGCAGGGGATTGGTGTGGACCTTGGGAAGGCAGAGGTTAATTTGTGGCACGCCTGTTAAAAAGTTAGACCTCCACTTATCTAAGCAATAAGAGGTGGTCTCCTAAAGAGACCAAATGTTATTCTGGTCCAGAACTGGGCCACTGGGTGTCATTGGGCTTAGAAAGGTAGGGTTCATTGCTTGATGGAAATATGTGTGTAAGTTGTCAGAACCAACCAGAGAGAAACAGCAAAAAGCCAGACAGATAAACCAGGAAGCACTAGAAACATGGCCCAAAACACCAAGCAAACAGAACATGAGAAGCACTAGAAATAGGGCCCTTACAGAAAGCAGAGGTGGAGCTTTTGGGGCAGAATGCTGTCTGAACAGAGGCTAGGAACTCTGAACAAAGAAGCCTCTCTAGTTTTTCATTCCTACTGCATTCTGTTTGCACATTCTTTGTAAACAGGCAGGATCACATCAAAGAAATACTGAATCTCATCATCAGTTTGTCTTCCTCATAGAAAAGAGAACCTTTTAAAACCTCACATGTTGTTTAGCCACTTGAATAAA